AAAAAAAAAAAAAAAAAAAAAAGAACCTGAATCCTTTGGCTCTTTGATCAAGACTCTTTCCATCACACTGACGTGTTCCTGACAACTCCTTGCCTGTGTTTCTAGCCTCCGTTTTATTACCCGCAAAGAATACGTTTATCTCATTAAATAAAGGCTATTAGATATTTGCGAGGGATAGTTAAAAGCATATGCAGATGTGAGATGTGAGTATATTTGTAGTCACTTCCTCAGAGTGAACATATCCACACACCCACACATTCTCTCCCTCTCATGTGAATAGCCATTTATACCAGAGATTAGGCGTTCTGCATTCTTGTTCCAGTTCTGCCACTCACTCACTGTGTGACCCTTGGTAAGGCTCCAAAGTCGCTCACTCCTCCATTTGCTCATCTTGCAAACTGAAGATTAATTATTCCTTCCTTCTCTACCTCCCATGATTGTTGCAAGGTGAAAAGAATATATCGTCTGGAGACACGCTCTGGAAAGTGTTAAAACACTATACAAAATGCTCACCTCTTATTTTAGTCTGTCTACTCCCGAGGGGAAGAGAGGCCTCAACAACACTGCGATGGCCTATGCTCTGGGCTGCGCGGGAAGGTGGATATATTTGGGCATGTGTGTACTGTCCACGTGCTGCACGCCCCCCACACACACGGGTCAAGGGGCCAGTAGCCACCGACATATGGTATCTGCGGCTGCGTATGGGTCACAGAGGAATTTCTCTTACAATTGCAGACAGCAGGCCGCAGCACCTCAAGCAATTTCGAAAGCAGTGAGGAAACAGAGAGCCTCCCTCTGCTGGCACTCCAGTTAATGAGGGGTGGCCTTTGTGATCCGCCCCTGGACCGAGGGCTTTGGGGAGGGGACAGGCTTCCTTTGTGGCTTTCAGATCCCATGGGGCCAAGGCCTCCCTCCCTTATTTGGATTGGAACCACTTTCGCGGTCTACTGGGGAGAAGCCCGCCAGGAGAAGCCGACACTCGGGGTTGGGGTTGGCTGTTCCCACCGTGTGCCAATCGCTTCTCACTGGTACGGCGCGGCTTTAATGATCGTTTCGCCAGAATTCATTTTCATAATGGCTACCGACAACGATCTACTCAGGGAAACCTGACCCGAGTTGTGACAAGCCACGTGCACCGAAACCCGAATCAACTGAGACCTAAGCTACCGCGATACAGCTTTCCTGCCGTCCTCGCTGAAAATGGGGGAACAAAGAACGGAGCTCCTCTGGGCGTCAGCCACTTGGCTGGGCACCAGAACTACAGCAGCGGACACACGCTGTAGGAGCTCGTGGCCTTCCTAAGTGGAAGTCGGCCCTTTCATTGCTGTCAACTAACAGGGGCTCCGAGACTCGCCTGTCAGCCAGACAATATATCATCTCGTTGTTCTTTGAGGGTTGTTCCCTTTGGCTGTTTCAGGGGCTTTATGTTTCAGAAGCCTGCCTGGACTTCCTCTTCGAGATTTGCTTGAAAGTAGGATGTTTTGCCAGCTGTCCAAAGTCCCCAGAGTAGTAGCTGTGGCCATCGGTTTGGCGACTTCACAGCGGGCTTGCCACTTAAATCATAAACTACATTGGTGAGTGGGGAGAAGTCTTCTCAGTATTTTATATTCCCTGACCCAAACAAACCACGCGGAACAGGCATTTATGAGACAACTAGAGTATTCTGAACACTGACTAGAAATTTTGTGTTAACAAATTGTTAATTTTGTAGGTGTGATAATGGTAGCGTAGTGGTTATGTTTTTTTTTTTTTTTTTTAAGCGTCACTGGCTCTTAGAGCTACATGCCAAAGTATTTCCAGATGAAACGATGCGGGTTTTGCTTTCTAGTGCTCCAGCATGTTTGGGATAATAGAGGAAATGGGACTGGCCAGATGTTGACAGTTGTTTGGGGGCAGGGTTTGGGCACACGGGGCTGCGTTATACTATCTTGTCTCTTCTTTTGTTCCTGTTTGGAAGTTTCTATGATAAAGTGTAAAAAACAGTATTAGGCCTAATTATGTTAAATGAAACATATTTATGTTTCCTCCCTGCTCACTCAGCCTAGAAGAATAGACAGAAGGTGCTTAATCATCGCTACAACCAACCCATAAACCACATGACGTCAAGGACGGCTTTTATTCAGTCTGTAGACGTAACGCCTAGCCCTCAGGAATCCATGTTACCAAAGGTTACCTGCTTACCTTCTTGTCAAAGGTGTACATGAAAGCTGGTATTCATAAAATGAAATGTGAGGAAGTCTCTATAATATTTGAAATCTCTTTTCTTCCACTTTTACTATAGGGTTTTTTTTGGGGGGGGGAGGGGTGCACATAGCCAAAGGGAATTTGAGAACTTGAACCCCTTGAATAAGAAACAGCCACCACAGGGAAATAGAGAAGCAAGTTTCCATTGACTGGGAACATACCCAAACCTGGGGTCAATGCCAAGTGTGACATTGCAGGACATCCTCGCAAACCCAAAAGCTTCCCTCGTCACTTACACGTTAGTTAATTTTGAAAGCAATGACTAAGGCACTTGTAAGAAAAAAAGAACGGCCACAATTGAAACCTCAAATATTGAGGACCCACGGGATCCTCCTGCGCTACTCAACTCTTCTAGCAGCGAGTCTGAAAACGCTCCGCTTTGAACCACGCAGGCAAACATTCCACACGTACACCTGAGACCACAGCAAACTATGTCCCCATACTGTAAAGTCCCAAGAGCTAGGACAGTGGAGCGGCTTCTTGCGTGATTAGATGTTGGGTGGGGAGTGGGATGTGGGGACATGTGTTCTAGAAGCCACTGGCGGTTCTATTTAGAGTTAATAAAGCTTACCAGGACCCTGGGTCTCATGCAGCATGCAGCAAACAGCAGAGTTAACTGTAAAACAGTAAGAGCTGATGAAGAGGGAGTGAGCTTGAGGAGAAATCCAATATTATGAGCTGACACAAACAATGATGGGTTAGAGATCAAAGGAAATGAGGAAGAGTGGGGACGGGGAGGAAGGGCGGGCTGGGAGGGACCCCGGGAACACCAATATTCTTTCGTAACCTCTTTCAGGGCAGCCAATGGAAATTCTGAGTATGTGACTCTATTACATCCAACCACCAACTCTTAAGAAGTGCCTCCTGCCACCGCCTCTACCCTCCAAACCTCCCCCCCCCACCAGCAGCACTATGGGAGCAGAGTGGCCCAGATCTAAAGAAGGGTTTTCCAGAATTTAGCCAACTGTTCATGGCATTACAGAAGAAGCCCAAGGAGCACCTGGGTGGCTCAGTCAGTTTAGCGTCCAACTTCGGCTCAGGTCATGATCTCATGGGTCGTGAGTTCAAGCCCTGCATGGGGCTCTGTGCTGATGGCACAGAGCCTGGAGCCCACTTCGGATTCTGTGTCTCCCTCTCTCTCTCTGCCCCCTCCCCTGCTCACACTCTGTCTGTCTCTTTCTCTCAAAGGTAAGTAGACATTAAAAAAAAATTATTAAAACAAAAAAAGAAGCCCAGGCCTGGGCCATTTCTGTGTCTGGAAAGATGGGAGACAACAGTCTATTTTGCCCTGATTGCTAATATGAAGTCCCACACGCCAGCAAGGTTTTCATACGTCTCGGAATTGGACAAAGGCGCCGTCACCAATTCCAAATATTCCTGGAGACTGGAGAGACATGCCTCCCTATATAGGGTCCTCTGCCTGGAGTGAGAGAGGGGGATCAGTTCATGTGAGACAACTAGGAGAGAACCTGGTCTGACAGAAACTTCCACTGAATAACTGAATTGGGAGTATTTATAGTTTAGTGTCAGTGGGGTCCAAACACAGGAATCTCCTAGTTCCGGCAGGCGGGCCATGAAGCTGCCCCAGGGATTGAGTTGACAAATACCACAGGCTATGAAGGCAGCCAGTTGGAGCCGGAAGACACATTTAGGTTTTTCTGATCTTAAAAATAGGAACCCATTCCTGCTGGTGCAACTAACACACAATGCCAGATCAGTGTGTCCAGTGACACTTCTTTTCTGGCTAGTTAAAGCTTATCCATCAGGTAACACCAAAAAAAGTTCATTAGGCAGTGATCTGACACCTAGTGGTTTAACTCCGTAACAAACATCTCTGGACTGATTGGTGAAAGTGTTCAAATTACACTTCTGAGTCATTGGATTGCCAAGTTGAGTGCCTACAAATATTAGATCTTTTACTGTTGTACGGAAGCCACTGTTTCACTCCTAAGCGATTGGCCAGGCACAGAGGCAAGTTAGAGGTTTCCTCCTTCCGGCAAATGTCCAACAGTTGAGTCAGGAACAAGTAGCTAAGAACAGAAGGCAATGACCCTGGACACCTTTCAGACCCTCAGGCCCCTTTAGTAAGGACATCGCCCAACAGTGCCTCCAAGGGCTCCCCGAGTCCCACTGCAGAAACTAGAGCAAAAGGGACGACCGGACAGTTCCTGGTGTTGTGTACATCCCTCTGGAAATGCTTCCCTGTCCTCTGGCTCCGGGATGACAAATGGGTGACTTCGGCAAGCAAAGCCTGGCATTGGGTCAGGGTTACGGACCCACACGTAGGCGGGAATCCATGCTAGCCTGCCTTACCAGATCCCAGGAGACCTAGACACCCTGTGCAATCACTCTCCACCTTGAGGGTGGGCCACACGGAATCTACTAGCATCTGAGGTCTCCCCACCAAGTTCTCAGCAGCCCAGGCCTGAAAGAGCTAAGCAGCCAAGAGGGATGGAGAGCACAGGGTGGGAGACCAGGACTGGGCAGCAGCCTTCAGGAGCAGCAATTCAACTGCTGGCTGCAGCTAAGTGAGAATGGGGTTGGGGGGGGGGGGCGGGTGGCTACAGGCATGGG